TACCATCAAGTCATCTCAACAGTAATGCGCTGAGACTTCCATCGAAGCTGCCTGTGTTGCAGTTCAGTTTTTGAAAATTATTTTCGCCTATTTTTATCGTTTCTGGACTAAAAATTCGTCATATGCCCATTTTTTGACAGTATGCAGTTTTCTGAAAAATGCTAAACATCTTTTTATATATTTATGATTCAGCATGCAGTCAGCATATTGCTGGATCGAGATTCTAGTTATTCTGAATTTAAAGGAGATTCAAACATAGACGAAAGTCTCCATGCTTTTGGGTGCCCAACATGTATGCTGTCCGGTTCTAAAAAGTTCATAGTCGAGAATCCGACATAATCGGACTTATTGATAGAAAATGGCTCTGAATTTTATCGAATAGAAAAATACGATGTGCTCAGTTTTTCTTTCTCGTACTTCATCCTGTCAATTAGTCGTTATATCGGACCAACTCACTTTGAAACACCTCCCTTTACATAATTTCAGTGCTTTGCAAGCACCTCGAAATCTCGCAGGCGTGTTCAAAGCATTTCGCATTTGAAAAGCATTTTTTGTCTCCCATTGTCTATGCGGCTTCATCTACCCATGCTTTCCTGAAGAGCACTAACCTTTGAAAATGCACCACAAGTTTGGGAATTTCAGGTTCAAGATAATTCTCCTGGGCAAGCGGCGGGTTTGGAGCCGTTCTTCGACTTCATTGTTTCAATCGGGAATACTCGATTGGTAGGGATATTAATATCGTTTTTGTTATCTTTCATCTTTCCGCTTCAGGACAAGGATAATGATACAATGAAAGAGATTCTTAAGCAGCATGTTGAAAAACCTATAGAATTGACGGTTTACAATAGGTAAGTTTGTTGCTACTTTTTTTGGATATATTAATGCCACCCCATGTTTTTCTTCTTCTTTTGAGAAATTGAGATCACCATGTTTACAGTAAAACGCAAACCGTTCGGCAGACAACTGTCGTACCTTCTGAATTATGGGGAGGACAAGGTCTTTTGGGAGTTTCCATTCGATTTTGTTCATTTGATGGTGCTAGTCAGCATGTATGGCATGTAATCTCTGTTCAGGTAAAGTCTAATTTTCCCATACTTATGCGCTGCGTATGCGCTTATTTCAATATAATAATCTTAGCCGAACTCGCCTGCCTCAATTGCTGGGCTTCAGTCGAATACAGATTATATTCTTGGCGCAGAAAGTGTGTTGAACCAAGCAGATGACCTTATTGCCCTTGTACAGGTAACCTTTAGTAAAAATTCAATCAATATTTTTGGCTTTTAAGACATGAAAGTGTAAATTTTCAGGCAAATGAAGGCAAACCATTGAAACTGTACGTCTACAATGTTGACAGCGATGTTGTCAGAGAGGTGAATTGTTTGGATTCTCTATGTTGTGTTGTAGCGCTTGAATATCTGACTATTTAGGTAAGTCTGACACCGAACTCAGCCTGGGGAGGAGAAGGCTGCTTGGGTTGCGATATTGGATACGGATATCTTCACCGAATTCCGATATCTGTGGATCGCTCAAAATCGCCTATTCCACCTCCGGTTAGATTTTTTGTAATAGAGTCGGTTGTTGTGACTATTTGGGTATCTAAATGGTGGAGTTCAGGTCATCGCACAACAACCAGCTAAGTTGCCGCAACCAGGTAACACAGGAATTCCACAAATTGATCAGGTACTTGACCAATCCTTTGAGTAATGTTTTTTCCCATCGGATAGATTTTCCGCCCATTTTTGGTTTTCAGTGATTTAAAGGCAGTGTCCAGGCAAATCTGGGCACATGG